CATAGTTTCCTGGCCACCACGAAACCCATCTGCTGAAAGGAATCCATCTGAATCACTGCCAACCATAACTGAACTTACTCAGTGACCTGTCTTGTAACCATCCCTTCTTTATACCCGTCAATACATCCTGTCTTTTTCACCTCATCCTTTGCGACCATGAAGAGAGAACTGTTTACCTTGAAACTGGGCCAAGTCTGCAGAATTGTGAGCCATTCCTCTGTTTTGAGAAGTTCCCATCGCGTATCTGTCTAGGAGCTCTCCCTCATGCTCTCAGCTTGACCATGGAGAGATGTGGACCCTGCGCTAAAGCCACGATTGGTGCCAAGCAGTAGGCTTTCCCCCACCCCCAGCAGTTCTTACACTCCTCCCTGGAGCCAAACGGCAGATCTTCACTGCATCCGCCCTGTTCTCTGTGGTTGTCCCCACAAGGAAAGCAGGAGGGCACGCAGGTGCTTTCCCCTCCAGCCTGCCCTCGCTAGCTGGGCTTTCAGCGGCAGTGACGTGTAGGACCTCTCCTCGGAGCGGCCTCCGAGTCCTCCGGGGGCCACCTCTGTCTGCCCCACGCAGATCCCGTGTGGGTTGCTTCAGGCGTTCAGATTGAATTGCTGTTGCCTTTGTGATTCTTGGCTCAGGTTCCTCTAAAAATTACATTACTACTTGGAGTTCAAGGAGGGCTGAACCAGCTACTACTAAGAACAGAATACATTACAATAACATTGAACAGACAAACACCAGAAAATTCCTGCCTGGGGCCACCTTCATATTCCATGCTTGTCCCATATTCCATCTTTTTCAAGAATTTTAAACAAAGTAGGATGACACCCATGTAGAGTTTGTGTGTCATGTCATCTACTAGAGACTTGCAGCTAAAAGCAGTTTTTAATCTGCTGAGGCTTTGAACTTGATATTTTTTTATTTTATTTTTGTTTGTTGGTTAGCTATTAGCTGGAACTAATAGCTAACATTCATTACACCTTGAAAAAAGTATTGCCTGGTGGTGTTTCTTCTGGGTTTTTCCAGTTAGTCTAATTCCATTGTTGCTAGTTACACTTCCTCCTCCAGTGCCACAATCTCCTCCCTCCCGACTTTCGCAGGCGCTGATTGATCATGGCCTGCCCTCCTTCAGGAGCACTTCCTTAGCAGCCAGCTCCCATGGTTGGTTCTTAGAATCTTGCCTCATAACATGAGCTTCTTCCTCATGCCTGCCATCTTTACTTTAAACTGATTCCAGTTTGTGTCCATTTTTTTTTTCTGGTAATGAGGTGTCTGGAATGGAACACAGCACCCTAGGAGGGGCTCCCCTGAAGCTGTATAGTAGGAGGGGATCCTTTGACTGTCAGTGCACAGGCCTGACCTGCCCCAGGGGGCTTTTGTCACTCTTGAAGAGCCAGCCCTGCCATGAAGAACCAGCAACTCCCCCCAATGAGTAAAAACCAAGTAAGCTTCCTTCTCCATCTTTCCCATCTCTTCGGTCACGTGACACATTCTTCAGAAGGTCAGTGGGGGCAAGTCTTGACATGCCTCTTAAGACACTTCTTCCTCTTCCTCTCCCACCCCAAGTTTGATTGATTGATTGATTGATTGATTGATTGATTGATTGATTGATTTGAAAATCAGAGTTGGAGAATTTCCATCTGCTGATCCACTTCCCATGAGTTTGCAACAGCAAGGGCTGAAGACAGGCTAAGCCAGGAGCTGCGACCAAGTCTCCCCCATGAGTGGCAGGAACCCAAACCCTTGGGTCATCCTCCACTGTTTTCCCAAATGCATTTGCAGGGAGCTGGATTGAAAAGGGAGCTGCTGGGACACAAACCAGGGCCTAGATAAGAGACATAGGCAGCAGGTCGGCAGCTTGACCAACTACACCGCAGTGCCAGCCCAAATACCTTGATTTGAAGTACTTCTTTAACAAATTGCACATCCCAGTGAATATGTTATAATGCAACATTCTTCTAATTAGTGCACCTTTATCGTATGTCTGATCATCTGATAGAGCAAGACTCACATCATTCTTGCTTTAAAATAATTTCCGGGAGGCCCGTGTTTAGCCTAGCGATGCCTGCATCCCAAGTTGCAGTGGCTGGATTTCGCTCCTGGCTGTGTTTCTGGCTCCGCCTTCTGAGCAGTGCAGACCCCAGGAGGCGGCAGCTCAGGTGGCTGGCCTCCCGCCACCCACCTGGGAGACCCGGCTGGAGTTCACACCTCTTGGCTTCAGCCACAGCTGCTGTGGGCACACATGAGAGCTCATGAATAGGAGCTCTCTCTCTCTTTCTCTCAAATAATTTTTTGAAGCATTTTCTAGGTGAGTATTTCACACAGCCATTCATATGCTACTTGCAGTAGAGCAGGTGCTACTTCATGCACTTGGTAACTTGACTCAATGGGATACCAGGATTGAGTGTCAGATTCCTGGCTTTGACCTCAAGAACTCCAGCTGTTGTGAGAATTTAGGGGGAGTGAACCAGCCAATTGGTGACCTGTATGCACGCACGTGTGTGTGTGTGTGTGTGTGTGTGTGTGTGTGTGTGTGTGCTTTTAAAATCTAATAAGATTTTTTAAAGTAAATTTTCTTGACTCTTCTCAAATATTTATACCTCAGGATAAATTTTAGAATCAGTTATCAAATTCTAGAAAACCTTTGGTATTTGATTTAGAAAAGTATTCCTAGTACTTAGAAAGATAGACATCCACTAAAATCTTTCATTTTTTAAAAGGTTGATTTATTTTTTATAGCAAATTCAGATGTATAGAGAGGAAGACAGACAGAGAAGATCTTCCATGACCACTGATTCACTCCCCAAGCAGGCGCAACGGCCGGAGCGGAGCCCATCCAAAGCCAGGAGCCTCCTCCAGGTCTCCCACGTGGATACAGGGTCCCAAGGCTTTGGGCCATCCTCAGCTGCTTTCCCAGGCCACAAAGCAGGGAGCTGGATGGGAAGTGGGGTGGCTAGGTTAGAACCGTCACCCGTATGGGATCCTGGTGTGTTCAAGCCAAGGACTTTTTAGCCACTACACTACTGCTCCGTGCCCAAAAATCTTTCATTTTTATTATTTTTTTTAAGATATATTTCGTTTGTTGAAAGGCAGTCACAGAGGAAGTGAAGGAGAGAGAGCTCTTCTATCGTGTGATTCGCTCCCCATATGGCCACAACAGCCAGGGCTGGGCCAGGCTGGGCCAGGCTGATGCCAGGAGCCAAGCATGCCATCCGGGTGGCAGAAAAGTGTGGCCTCTCAGGCACATTAGCAAGAAGCTAGTTCAAAACCAGGGGGTGAAGTCAGTCCTTGTTACTGCAGTACGGAAATCAGGTCTCCTGAGTGGTGGCTTACCCTGCCCTATGTCAGAACTTGCCTCTCGAATATACTTACTGATTGAAAATCAGTTTGCATAAATCATCCATATCATTGTTATTTTGTTTCTAAAAGGTACATGTATATAAACACGAAATCTTAAATATATGACAAAACAATAGTGATGACACCTAGATGATGCTAATACTATGGATTTTTTTTTTCTTGCTGCTTTACTTTCTTTTCCATATTTTGGCTGATATGTGTGTAGTATTTTCTAAATAAGAAAAAAAAAACTGAAAGGCTACTATTAAACTGGAGGTGGTTCATGACAAACAGAGCCACCCTCTCTGCTCTAAGTTTTCTTAGGATGTGGGGCGCTGGGGCCCTCTCCCAGCCAGGGGTGAGTGTTCCCTGGAGAGCCGAAGGGTGGGACGGTCAGTGGAAACCTGCAGCTCAGCAGCTTGGGGCCTGGGACCCTCCACTGCCCTCTTTGGGCCTCGTTTGCACGAAGACATTGGATCTGTAACTTCTGTGCTTCAGAGATGTCTGTCCATGTGAGGGACAGAAACAGGAAGAGCTGCTGCTGAAGCTGCCTCACCCCCGAGGCCAAGGCTGGCAGCTCAGTCCAACAAGTCTGCCACGTGAGGAGGGGGCAGGAAGCCAGGCCCTGGAGTCATCAGCGCTGCCTGCCAGGGTCAGCACTGGCAGGAAGCCAGAGTCAGGATTAGAAGTCGAGCATAGGGACCAGACCCTCCAATGAGGCAGGTGTTCCAGCTGCTGAACTCAACACCCACCCCGTCCTTTGATCCTTTTGTCATCACCAATGTGGCTGCCAGGAGGCTTCACCTAGAGACAGCCTCCTTCTGTCAGATCTTGACTGACAGCAGGATTCTTTTCTTTTTCTTACTTATTTCCTTATCTGTGTTTTGAAAGGCAGAATTATAGAGAGGGGAGAGGATAACTTCCATCTGCTGGTTCACTCCCCGGTTGGCCACAACAACCAGAACTGAGATGACCTGGAGCTAGGAGCTTCTTCCACATCTCCCAAGTGGGTGCAGGGGAGCCCAGGACTTAAGCCATCCCATGCTGCATTCCAAGGCCATTAGCAGAAAACTGGATTAGAAGTGGAACAGCCAGGCCTGGTATGATAGCCTGGTGGCTAAAGTCCTCGCCTTGTATGTGCCAGGATCCCGTATCGGCGCTGGTTTGTGTCCCAGCTGCCCCGCTTCCCATCCAGCTCCCTGCTTGTGGCCTGGGAAAGCAGTGCAGGACAGCCCAAAGCCTTGGGATCCAGCCCCCGCATGGGAGACCTGGAAGAAATTCCTGGCTCCTGGCTTTGGATCAGCATAGCTCCAGCCGTTGGGGCCGCGTGGGGAGTGAATCAGTGGATGAAAGATCTTCCTCTCTCTCTCCTCCTCTCTGTATCTGCCTTTCCAATAAAAATAAATAAATCTTTTTTAAAAAGATAATAATGAAGCAATTCACAAGTAGTGGTGATTAGGTAAGTTCTTCCACATAAAGACATTGCAAAAAAATTAAAAAGAAAAAGTGGAGCAGGAAAAACACAAACCTTTACCCACTTGGGATGCCAGCGCCATAGTCGGAAGGCCTGGCCTGGGACACCATGACACCGGCCCCAAGCCGTGATCCTTAACTCCTTGCCACCAGGACCTCTCTGATCTGACATGCACTTCTCCCTTGCCTTTCAGCTCCAGGACGAGCTACGGAGAGGGGAGCAGGACAACGCAGAGCTGCAGGAGTTTGCCAACGCCATCCTTCAACAGATCGCAGACCACTGCCCCGACATCCTGGAGCAGGTGGTGAACGCGCTGGAGGAGTCCTCCTGACCCCGCCCCGGGCTGTGGACCTCCAGGGGCCCGAGAGAAAGGAGGACTACAGACCCACAGGCAACCGGACACCTGCTGGCCACCAACACTACAAGCCACGACCTGTCCTGCGGGAGCGTGATCCCAGCCCCGTGTCTACGTCTCACCTTGCACTGCCATTCCGGGTCTCCATGAAGAACTGCTCCACCGTCCCCACTCATCAAGAGTAGAGAACTGGAAGCTGGTGGCTCTGCCCCTCGCCAGAGATGCTGGGTCGAAGGCCCTCTGCCCTCCCTTCCTTTGGCGTGAGAACTAACTCTGGACTCCACGTGGGATTTTCTGAGTGCCAAGAGAATGCCTCCCAGTTGACTGGAGTGCTGAGCGTGTCCCACCAACACAGATAGGTGCTTTCTCCCAAAAGAGTTTTATTTCGCTTTGTTTCTGTTTTGTTTTGAACCCTCAGAAAGAGTAGAAAAGAAGAGGCAGGGCAGAGTGAGGATGCCAGCTCTTTGTCATGCCTTTGTCGTCGCCCTGTCCTGTGCAACGGCATCACCCGCAGCCCCGGTGTCCCTCTCAGCCCTGTTCCTCAGCTGGCGAACAACAGGGTTAACATGGCTCGCTCGGTCTCTCTGATGTAAGACCCTCACCCTTGGCCTGCTTCGTTGTGAAATGGTGGTCTGTAACTGAAAGAAACACGAGGGTTCCCAGACCAGGCCCTGTCCCTCCCGAAGGGGACATGCCAGGCTGCCTTCCCCTGGCCTGCTCCCCTGGAGTTCTGCCTGCCCTCCTCTCCCTGCCAACTCTGCTCCCGGCTGGCACCCTTGGGACGCCAACCCTGAGCATTGCCTGGAACCTTCTTGCAAGACAAAAGAATCTTACACACAGGTTCATTTCCCCGTGCTTTAATTTGGAAAAACACTTGGAGGATGCGCACTTGGACAAGTGCTCGCCCTGGCGTGGGTCTCTTTGGCAGGGGACATTATGGCACGTCCTGGGGGACGCAGCTCTGAGTCCACACACAAAAACAGGCGTGCCTTCCCCTGCCCATCCTAACAGAGGTTTGCTCCTACAGAAGTCTTGGACCCCCAAACATTTTCCATTTCCTCGGTGTCACAGACATGGCAGGTGTCCTGGCAGCAGAGTGCACTGGTGGCCTGCAGGATCCCACGTTGGTGGCTTAGGAATTTTGCTGTTTGTTGTTGTCACCCTTCGAGCGTGCCCCGTTCAGGGGGCCGTGGGCGTCCATTCGTGACGCACCATCGCCACACTATAAATCAGAAAGTCGGGCCCCATTGGAAATCTGGTTGACAAGAGTTGGCATTTCGAAGGACATTCTTCCCGGGCATAGGCCAGGCAGTCATCAGCAGTCAGGCACCTGGAGAGAAGCCACCTCACACATCGCCCCCTCCACTGCCTTGGTCACCGCAAGCCCACCAGACCCACATCTCGTGAGCTGAGCTTCTGGCTTGCCTTTTCTGCTCGCTCCTTCCCCGCTTCTCCAGAGCTTAATTCCACCTGTAAGGTCGTCACAGGTATCAGGCCAGCTCTGCCCGCCAGCCGCCCTTGACCGTCTCTGTAACTTCTCCTAGTTCAGACCTGGGTCTCCCTCTTTGCCTGCTGCGAAACCCAGCCTCTGGCAGAAAGACGCTGTGGAGAGTACCTTAGCACAGGTTTAAATGGTTTCTGTTCTTAAACCTCTTACTAAAATGCTTCCTGGGGGGCAGGGCGGGGCGTTTAGGAAGTAAGTGCTGGCTGCTTCCGGTCAGTTACCTGCTTTTTTGTTTATTTATTGCACTGCCCGGAAGGCGTCTGGAAAGCCCTTAGTGTGAGCTAAAGTATTGCAATTTCACTTTATCCACTGCAACATGCCAGGCTTCCCAGGCCTCTGGTAGAACAGAGGAGACCCAGGAGGAGAAGGCTATGAGCAGGTGACCCTGGATTCGCCACACTGGGCCCTCGTCCTCTAGGGCAACACGTGCTGCTCTGGGCCACGTGGTGTGCGAGCCACCGCGTCACCTGCCCCCTTACCCTTCCGACCTTCGTCATCACGTCCCCTCCAGAAAACTGACAGAAGCAAGAAGGGCTTCCAAGAAGAACTTACGGGTCAGACACCTGTTTGGTGTCTGTGAATCAGAACCGGGAATCTCCTTGGTGCCCCTTGGCTGGCAATCTGGCTTCTCAGATGATTCCAGGAACTGTATGGCAGGAGTTCGATGGTAAAAAAAAAAAAAAAAAAAAAAAAATGATCTCCCTGCATGGTCAGGGCAAAGTGAGTGGCATTCCCAGCACCCAGAGGGTCTTACTGAGCTCAGACCCTGTGAGAAGCCCCCACCCAGCAAGGACTTTGTCCATAACTGTTCCCCTGGCATTCATGGTGTCACACGGTCACCCAATGGCCACTGAAGGTATATGGCCTTGGATACTCACTGCAGGTTGCCTGTCATCTTCCCCAAACGGCCCCCATACCATCAGCAAATCCAGTTGCCTGTTAGTACCTGAACATCTGTACCCCGACTCAGGGCCCTCCGAAAGGCGTGAAGGAAGAACAGATGGGACGCAGCCTGGATCTCCTGACCGAAGACAGCAGTGCGGGTTGCTCGTCTCTCATATACCTCTATCCCAGGTACTTGCTCGTTGAGTCACGGATGAAGCATCTGAATTGATATCCACAAAAACTTGGATATCATTTCAAATGGAAAAACACTTGAAAATGGGCTTTGCGCATTTAGCAGGATGAATGGGACCGCCCAGATCCAGCCCAGCTCTCACCTTGGTGGTTGCACCTTACAATGAAAAAAAAAAAGATCTTGGCTCTTCCTCACACTTGGCCTTTAGAAGTACTGGGCAAGCAGGTGGCAGTGAGACCACTGGTGGCGCTGTGACTGGCCACCTCGGTTTTCTGAGAGGATCTCCGTGGCTCATCCCTCCCCTAGAGTGTGGGAAGACGGAGAGAGCCCTGGTCGGCTGCCGGACCCGGCCAGCTCTTCCCCATCCATCGGAGGGCAACAATGGCTTTGGGGCTTGCTTGCCAGCCAGGACCGTGCACCTGCCAGCATTGCTTCGACACAGGCCTACCGGCTCCCCCGCGTGCCTTTGTGGGAAGACCAAAGCGGCAAGGATTGCGTCGCCACTAGGAAGGTGACAACACAGCATCTCCGAAGCCCCCCGGAGAACCCGTGTTAGCCATGTTAGAAGCTCCAGCCATGGGCAGCCTTCACAGAGCCTGCCAGGCCAGCGCCCATCACTGCCAACCCCCCGGGCCTTGTCAGGAAGTGACTGGAGTCCTTCAAAGAAATGTTCCCTCGCCCCTACGGGAACTAAGAGAATATTTGGGCAAGAAAAAAAAATCCTCTAGGGAAATCCTTCTGAACAAAATGGCTGTGTTTACTCTTTTTAAGCAAAAACTGTTTCCAAACTTTTTAGTGTCACAACTGTAGCCAAGTGTCTCCTGACTTTTATTTTTTCCCAATGTGTTTGGTGAGTGCTGTGACCCCATTGTAGGAATTTCTCCTCCTGACTCTTTGCAGGGAGAAATGATTTTAGGGATTGATTTGGGTGGGGGAGGTGGAGATTGTCCCACCCACCTCCTCCTTGTCTCTCTGCTTGTCAATATTGTCTGTGTGATCCAGAGAACTGGGACAAGTTACCTTTGTGTCCGTTGTTGAGATTATAAAAATATTAAAATGTAGCTGTAGAACTGAAAAAAATTAAAGAGCCGTGTCTTAAAAAAAAGAAAATGCAAAGTGATATCATGTTGATCATGGAATTCAAGCTACGAGGCGGCCAGGCTCCTCCGCCCATCCCAGGTGGGCTGAGCACGTGGGCCACAGAGGGGCCACCCTGAGCCACAGGGTCAGCAGCGCCCGGGGCTCAGTGACACGCAGGTGTGCCAGGGTTTTCCTGCGCATCCTCAGGACCTCTCGACAAAGGTTTCCAGGTTTGCGACCCAGAACCATTCTCACCCCACCTTGGCCCCAGCCCAGCGTGCCTAAGACTTTGCCATCGCCTGGGCTTGACCCTGAAGCCCCACTTGTACCCCTGCAGGCCACAGGACCTCTTTCCTGCCCACTTGGTGCTAGATCATCCAGCGACCCATCCAACAGGGCCAAGTGCCGCCAGCCTGTAATCCAGGTACAATGAATTGTACACGGATCCCACATCCTCTGGCTTTGGACCCCGTGTCCCTTGTCTGGAAGCTTTTTTTTAGATACCCACCCACCCACACGTACACACACATCGCTTGTCTCTCTGTGTTGGCCCCAGAGAGGCCATGGTCAGGAAGGGAAATGGACTGAAGCCAGAGGACCCACCTGGGGGGCCGGGGCAGGTGTGCTCAAGCCAGCCCCCAGTCCCCCCCCCCATGCCATGCTATGCCACGCCATGCCAGTATTGCATTCGGCCTGGATGCAGCTCAACCTGCCAGAAGGGCAGCACCCCATACTCAGGCCTGCCTGCCCTTGTGCGGGCCTCGCCCAGGTACCCACCCTGTGCGCCAGGACATCCCAGGATGGGACTCGGGATGGGGGGATGGTCCGCCTCCCCCACTTCAAAAAGGAAGCGTTGCACTTTAGTGGGGGCGCCGAGGGGCAGCAGGCGCTGCCTCCTTGTAGCTTGACTTCCCCTCCAGGACGGTAGGGGCCTCAGTGGGGGCGTCGAGTTGCCCCAGGCACCGGCCGCCTTCCGCTGTGCGCATGTCCGCACGTGTCGGTGCATGTCCCTGCTGGAGTGTCGCCTTACTGACGGAGTTAACAACATTACAAAGGAATTGTTATATTCAACTCTGCCTTGATAATTATTGTAAACACTTTGTTCATTTTTTTTTTCTTTTTTTATTCACAAACTAAATCCCTGAGGAAATTATAAAGTTATTTAAAGACCGTGCATTGTGTCTGTCTCTTGAGTCTTTCCCAGTCTGATTGTCATCCAGGCGAGACATGTCCGCCACTGCCAGAAAAGTTAGAGAGTAGCCAGAGCCCAGAGCAAAGCGTGGGTGGGTGTGGGTGGAGGCACGTCCAGTGTGGGCCCTGACAGCCTGCGGCCTCACCCAGCAGACAGCGGTGGTGGTGGGGTGGGGCAGTGGGGACCCCAACAGCTCAGCCTCCCCCAGGGCACGGTGGTGGCAATGGGGTGGGCCACATGGACCGTGACAGCCCATGGCGCAGCAGCAGCAGCAAGATGAGCTGTAGGTGCTGGCCCCACCGGGCTCCCAGCACCTCGGTGACCATGCGGAGCCTAGTTCCAGCTTCCCTCCTCCAGCCCAGCCCCTGGTCCTGCACCTGCAGTTGTAACCAGAGCTTAGAGAAACTGGGACTGCCCCAGGGCCAAGGCAGACGTGTCGTGGGTGTGGGGAGAAGGGGTGCACTCCAGGGCCGTGGGCCGTATTAGGCGACAGACACTGTCCCATCTGGCAGGCTGCTGCTGCTGTGCCATGCCCAGGTTCTGCCTGGGGCAGAGCACCTGGGAGCTTAGCTTGGCATGTCAACACCTGGGGCAGGCCCAGTTGCACCGTCACCATCACCACGTGAAAGAGCCCCAGGCAGATGACAGCAGCGCACTGCCCAGCTGTGGCCCCAGTTTTCCATCCCTCTTTGGTTATAGCTTTTCTCTTCACTCTGATCTCCAGGGGAGGAGGGCAGCACTGCAGACCACGGGTTGGAGGGAACTGGGGGAGGGAGGGTTCCCTGCCCAAGCCCACTGTTATCCAACTCCTGAGGCTGCATTAGCTGGAAGGCGATTACACCGAGCCAGCCTGTGGTGAAGGCAGGGTAGGCCTCGTGCACCGCACAAACCGCCACCATGCTTCTGGAAAGCTCTTGTGAGCAGAAAGCTTGAAATTGCTTCCTCTGATCCGGAGTTCGCTCTAGAAGAATCCAGTGTGCTGCCAGGGAGGGAGAAAGGAACAAGGACAGATAGAAAAAGATTGTCCGGGCCCGGCGCGGTGGCGCAAGTAGTTAAGGTCCTCGCCTTGCACGCCCGGGATCCCATATGGGCACCGTTCTAATCCCGGCAGCCCCGCTTCCCATCCAGCTCCCTGCCTATTTTGTCTCGTCTCATCCTCTCGGCTATCCCAGGAGGCCGGAGCTGTTCTCCAGTGTGTCGGACACATGGTGGCAGGGTGGAAGGCACCACTTAACGTGTCTCATCCACGCACAGGCAGCTCCAAAGGAAGAGGACTAAGATGGCAGCCCAGCTCAGTCCCCAGTTTCTGCCATGGCACACTCCTTGGGGAGCTTCCGATGGGCAGGCAGAGGGATCCAGCAGCAGCGTGTGGCATGCCCAAGCACTTGATGGGGAGCCTACAATCGGACCCACCATTGATGCCAGCAGAGGAGTTAAAGGGTGAAGGATGGCAAGAGAGCATAGGAGCCAAGTCAACCAGAGCCAGGGAAGTGGGCCAGGTGTCTGGGATAGCCAGTGGCCTGCAGGGGAGCATAACACACCACTGCCTGCGATGGGGGCTGGGAGAAGGGGATGTGGTGGGAGGAGGCTACACACGGGGGGCCGAGAGAGGCCCCTCATTCCTCCCGGGAGGGGAGGCTCTAACCATCCCTTGTCAGGGCCACATCCTGGGCCCCAAGTCTTCCACGGGTAGACGAAACACCTGTAGGCAGGTACACAAGGACCTGGCTTGGGGTAACCCCTAGACATGAGCAAGTCTCCAGCCTGCCCACTGCCCCTTCCTGCGCCCCTCACACTCCCACAGAACTCGAATGGGACCTTCCCCGTGGGCATGCATGCCAGTCAGCGTTTTGTCTCTGCTTGGTGGGGGCCCAGGTGCCCATCATCCTGCCTTAGCCTCCAGTAGGGATGGGCCGTGGATGGAGAGTTTGATCAGCCTGGCCTATTGGTCCAGCAGTGGGGTGAGGGTCAGGGAGGGGGAGTTGAGGCTGCAGCCTTCGCTGGCTCCCTGCTTGCAGGATTGCTAGTCTCCCCCTACTTCCCATGGAGTAAACTTTGCCCCCACCCCCGGAGCTGGGACCACTCCCCTCCGTTCCGCCCCCTTCCTCCCAGCTCAGGAACTGCTCTCTCCCGGTCCCCTCCCTGGTCTCCTCCCTCTGGGGTCCCCGGCTGCCCAGTGGCACACATACACACCCTGAGCCACCCACAAGGTGACAACTGACTCACCTTCCCACAGGCCTTGCAGAAGTTTTCCATCACACAGCTGGCCTGGGTTAGCTGTGTCACCGGACAAGGAGACAGGGCGGCAACATCAGGAACAGCCCAGGCTGGTGCAGGCGTGGCCGTGAGGACCTGACGGCCACCTTGTCCTTGCTACATCCGCTCTTCCTCCCAGTGGCTCTTCCAGAAGTCAGCCAAGGCTGCTTGCCCCCAGGACACCAGACGGTGACCTGGGTAGGGGAGAAGCAGTGGGCAGTGCAGGTGCAAAGTGTTAGGGTTGGGGTGGGTAACAGTCCTATAGCAGGACTCAGATGACACTCTGGGAACGTGCCAGGGTCTGAGCTGTGAGAAATAGGGAGATGCAGTGAACAGCTGTATGCCCTAACTCTGCTGCTGCAGAGTACACACGCACACACACACACACACACACACACACACACACACACACATGCACACACACACACACACACATGCACACACACACAGGCTTCACCAAGTGTGCAGGTCCCCACATTATAAAGGAAATAAACAAACAACTTCAGCATTCTTATTTCCCCTCTGAGACTTGCAAAGAAGGCGTTAAGAGCCTGTGATTTAAATCATAAACTTTATTCAAAGCCAAACAGCTCAGCATTTGTCTCCTGCCAGCCTGGCCTGCCCCTCAGACTAATGTGGCACTGAGCTAAATCAGAAGGAGCCATCTTCCAGGAGGAGACCCGGGCTGAGGGCCGACCTGAGCCCTGAGCAGACCAGACCTGAGCCGCTACCAGCACAGGCCTGTCCTAGGCGGCCCGGGCCCAGGGGAGCCCAGGGGAGCCCAGGGGAGCCCCACAGTGCCTGTCCCTCCCTTCCTCTTCTCCACTGCTCCCTTAGCAAATGTGCCCCCTGGACCTGGCACGATGGCTCGATGGCTAAATCCTCATCTTGCAAGCGTTGGGATCCCATATGGGCGTTGGTTCGTGTCTCAGCTGCTTCATCTCCCATCCAGCTGCCTGCTCGTGGCCTGGGAAAGCAGTGGAGGACGGCCCAAAGCCTTGGGATCCTGCACCCGCGTGGGAGATCCTGATGGAGCTCAGACTCCTGACTTTAACCCATACTAGCTGTGGCTGTTGCAGTCATTTGGGGAGCGAACCAGCAGATAGAGGGGGTGTGTGTGTGTGCGTGCGTGTGTGTATGTGTGTGTTTCATTACACTCGGTCATTATTTCTTTTTTTTTTTAAGATTTATTTATTTTTATTGGAAAATCAGATATATAGAGAGAGGAGGAGAGACAGAGAGAAATACCTTCCATCCAATGATTCACTCCCCAAGTGACCACAATGGCCAGAGCTGAGCCGATCCGAAGCCAGGAGCCAGGAGCTCTTCCTGGTCTCCCACGTGGGTGCAGGGTCCCAAGGCTTTGGGTCGTCCTTCACTGCTTTCCCAGGCTACAAGCAGGGAGCTGGATGGGAAGTGGAGCTGCCGGGATTAGAACTGGCGCCCATATGGGATCCTGGGCGCATTCGAGGTGAGGACTTTAGCCGCTAGGCCACCACACTGGACCCCCTGTCATTGTTTCTAATATTGCCGGGCATGTCCTCCTTCCATGTCAGAGTTCCTGTGCTGGCTCCCCGCCCAATTCCAGCTCCTAGTGACATGCAAACTGGGGAACAACAGGTGATGGCTCAAGTCCTTGGGTCCCTGCTCTCCCAGGCTCCTGGCTTCAGCCTGGCCTGACACCCACTGTCATAGATACTTAGCGAGTGAAACAAATGGATAAAAGATTTTCTTTCTATTCTCTTTCTCTCTCCTGTGAAATTGCTACACTTTGTTTCACAGGATCACACAGTGTCCAGGAGTCGGGCAGCTGTCAGTGGACAGAGTACCACGTGAGCTAGAGGATCTGAGATACCAGCTGTCCCCTCTTGTCCTTCCGAGGTGACACACTGTCAAGCATTTGTCACAAGTCAGCAGTGCAGCCTGGGGGCTGGCCTCAGAATGCTTCCCCGTCCCCGCAGCTCACTGCTTTCCTCGGTGGCGGTGGTGGTGGGGGGGGTCACTGCAGCCTTAGGGGCAGCAAGCGCCTTCCACTGCCAACAGCCGCCCATCCATCACTCCCCACAGCGCATCTGCAAACCAGCACAACATCATGGTCCTTCCTCCCCCTGAGACACATGGGGCGAGGGGCTGCTTGCGTTTGCCCAGGAGGGAAAGCTGCCAACGCATAAGGAACCAGACACAACGTTTCCACCGCGAGGGAACCGAGAGGTCACTAGATTCAGGCTTCAACAGCCACCTGCCCTGCACCTGCCAGGGAAGCCATCTCCATAGCAACAGCGGCTGCATCCCATACCCAGCAATTGCTCCTATTTTCTTTTTCTCCCCCTTCCCTTGCTTAAAAGATCCCACCACAAAAATATTTTCTTCCTCCCTTCGTGGTGACTGGGGTCAGGGAACCGCAGGCCTGGCCCGCCACCCCACAGGGTAGCCGGCTGCGGTCCAGGAGGATTTCAAGGGCAGATCCGTTCCCAGCAAGGGCTGCGAAGGAATTTTTCCCTGGGTCTCCAGGACACAGTCTCCCAGCTGTTCACAGCTGGGCTGCATTGCTGGGAGGAGCTTCCTGACCCGGAGCCTGTTACGCTGTGTGGCTCATACCAGTTTTCTCCGAGGTTTGCTCAACTCGTGTGTGTGTGTGTGTGTGTGTGTGTGTGTGTGTGTGTGTGCGCGTGTCCAGGCTCGCATCAATGGCAAGGCACTTCTCTAAATCAAACCAAGCCAACTCA